CCTTGGTCCTAAACCTAACCCCACACCCGTAATTTGCATTTGGACCCGTGGGGACCAATGCCAGGTCCCCACGATTCACTTCGGTCCCCATGAGGCTGTTTTTTGGGGGAAATATTTCCCAGGTTGTAGGAAAACTAGAAGAAATGTAAAAGGGGCTTGCCCATGCAATGCATGAGGAGTACCAAAAAACAAGAAAACTACCAAAATCCTTCACATCTATTCCCATATTCAGCTTCACGTTAATTTGCTGCACCTCAGAGTGAAAAGACAAGACTCTGATTGTGGCTTTATGCTTTCATGTGACCTTTGTGATGTACATTGTTTATTGCAGGCCAAAGGTCAACATTAAATGTGTTAATGTGATACAGCTGTTTTTTAAGACAGATATTGAATGTTTACCAGCCATATTTAKCAAGTATTGAAGGTTTCAGGGTTCATTATAAAACCATAATAAATGGCAGGAGTTGAGCATTTACAGTGCCAAAAAATAAACCTTTGAGTGTAGCTTTGCTGAAAATAATTTTTGCTTTTATTGTGAAGCATGGATAGGCTACCCACTTTATGTAACCWTATGAACGTATTTTCTCTAAACTGAACATTTAGGGACTCATGTTTTTACAGAAGTTTCATTYTTTAAACTTTTGTTTCATGCTTTTAAATTCATGGCATATGCATGTGCCTTGATTTGTGTCTATATTCTACATGAACCAAGCACAAAAAGTAAGGAAATCAGTGTTTGGAAGATAACGATGCTTCTTGGCAATAAATCTTATACCAGGCACCTCACTGGCAGCACCTGAAGCTCAAAACAAGTGACAATATCAACAATAAAACAAGCTGTTTGACAAGGAAGATTTGGCAAATTTTGCAAGTGTGCAACCCACATACTAAGCTTTACTTCTTATCCCACAAATGTATGTTCCTTGCAAATGTGGCACTATTTAAAGGGGAAATTAACAGGCTTTCCAATAAGATTTATTGCCAAAACAACAAAGAATGAATCAACCAAACAAAAACAACATTACTTTAATTTTCTAAGAAATTTTGAAGTGTTGTATAAAGTACCACAAAGTGATACTTGAGTAAAAGTACATGTATCTTACCAAAAAATGGCTTTGGTAAAAGTTCATGTCTCCTTTAGGAATATTACTGGAGTAAAAGTTTTAAAGTATCTGATATTTTTTGTACTTAAGTATTAAAAGTAAAAGTATTGATTTAAAATGAGC